TTGAGCTGTTGAGTTATTTCAGCCACCTCAAAATCGCGACTTGCGACGTCGTGTGAAGGTTTGGGAGGGAGAATACAAAAGGAGGAAATTTCGTTGTGTAACTGATCCTCAAGGACCTGTCGTTCTTCTTCTTTTTCTTGTAGTTCCTTTCCTTTTTCTTGGAGCTTCTTCTCCTTTTCTTGAAGTTTCTGCCTCAGGTCATCAACCTTTTCCAAGACCCGTCTTAACTCCTCTGTTGGAAACCTTTTCTGATTTCGGATGTCTTGAATTTGCCAGGTAGAGAGACCGAGCCCTTGAAAGGCAGCATAAACTTTACCAATGGCGATTTGAAACTCTGGATACGCGAGGTGGCCTTTTGGCATGTGCGCAAACTCTTCATTCCGAAACTTTCTGAGATCATCTATGTTTGATTTGACGGCTGGATTGAGAACGCGGCCGATAGAATCGGAGTAAAGAATGGCGTAAAAAAGCATGGTACAATCCCATTCTGCTCTGTCTCCATTAATCATGGTAGCTAGAAGTCTGGCATTTCTTCTCTGGTTTCCGGGAGACTCCCCGTTGTTGAATTCCAATCCATTCCCAGGCTCATCTTTCCATTCTCCTAACGTTGTCTTATAGCGACTGTCCCATTCTTGCTTGAAAATTGATCGGAGACCCTCAGTTATTATATCAGTGACAACGTAACAAATCTTGTAGTAGTTCAATTGCTCTTCTGTAAATTCTATTGCAACAGCGGCCATTTTCAGGTTGTGTCACCTTTTGTTTGTCCTTAGCCCTTTGCAAGAAATAAAACTTTGTTATTAGCCAATTAGAGCCCTGTTGAGAGCTCGGTTGTTAGCTGAAGTTTTCGTTTGCTTTTTTACTTTCCTGAGTTTACTTTTCCTCTGTTAAATTTAAATACATTACAGCAATGAGGAGAACAAGTTAACTTCGATGTACACTCTTTTTTTTTTATAAGAATATAGTTTTTCTGGCACAAGGTTGAATATCCTTATTTTTTTTCCGATTTAAGGCTGAAAATACTTTTGTGAATATTCTTAGATTATAGTGTATGGCATCTCTGCTCTCGAATGTATTTCGGTGGCGGATTCAGACCTTGAGCTAAGGGGGGTGGAGTGTTTGCTTGCTCTGCCGGCTTTTCTTCCTTCTGTTTGTTTTTTTTTTTACTCAAAATAACGGGTGATGGCGGGTCCCCCGGGCCACTCCGCTGGATCAGCCACTGTTTTTGGTGTCTTGATGGTGTTAAAGTAATTTTTGAGCCAGGCTGCAGGCATTATAGCCTGATGTCACGTTCATAACGTCTTTCAGAAATGGGCTAATGCTGTTTTTGTTGCTTTTTGTCTAGTTTTGCCGTTTAGAGAAAGGAAGAATTTTATTTTATTTACAATTTTTCAACACACAAAATTTTCTTTCCAAAGTCTCAGCCTTGGGTTTATTCTTAACTTTTCGCAAATTTTAGCCTCGATATTCTTATAAAACATATTCATATAAAAATCAATGAGTGTATCAAACTTCCAACATGGCGCCAAGGCTTCTCTCAGAAACAGAGCCGTTCTGTTCGTTGCAGACGTTTGAGTGACAAAGTATTTACATGAAGCTTCACGCCACCCCCAGTCTGAACTGTCAGCTGTCCTCCCGCGTTTCAGGACGTTACCGACGGTCGCATCAGGGAGCAAAAACGGCTGACTGGTGGATGGAAAACGACGTCAATGAGGTGGATTTTTCGTTGTGAGACTGCGGACATCAGTTACATGTAAAAGCGAATTTCAAGAATTTTCGTACTCGAGGAAACATGAAACATTCCGGAACAACCCGAAACATCGAATAATTATAACAATTATAAGAAAAATATGTACAATGAAATTTTCAAAAAATAAATTTAACAAAAATAAACTGGTATCAACTTGGAAAATAAAAAAAACAAAAAAAAACAAAAAAAAACAAAACTGCAATGAGTGAAGGCTCGCAACTTAAAAAAGTAATCCATTCCTTCCAGTCGTTCACCATCAGTTTAATCACGTGACTGTTTCTTACTCCCAGATTTCCCTTTAATCAGACCGAAAAATATGGATACACGAATATGATTTCTTTATTCAATACATTACGTCAATACAAAGGTATACACGATTCCTCATGAGGAAATAGTTTCTCCATGAGATAGAAATAGAAACTCTTCGGCATTGAGTGTCTTGTCTAAACTAGTTTGGACCGCTCGAGCTCTGATGACAGTGTAAACAAATACAAACAGAAAAATTTGATAAAACATTTGGCGACGCGCTGTCTTGCAGGCTCGCTGGTCAAAACTTCGAACGCCACCAAAGTAGACCAAACATGCAAAGTACGCGCGTGAACGCAGTGCTGTAATCTTTGATTACTCGGGCTTCCGAAAAGGCTGAGTCTGCACTTGGTGGGTCATAGTGCCAGGCGTTCCTAGCGGAGAGCGCGAAACTGGGGATGATAATTGCAACTCGAAGACGGAACAGTAGTGACAAAGCTATGGCTTCTGACTTAAAAAGCAACTGTGTGATGCTCTTACGAACACCTCAGACGTTGAAGAAATCAGGGATCAACAAAGGAAACGCAATGAATCACCTGGCATTTGTCGTCTGACTCGTCCATATTTGTGTTGAAAAATAGATTGCTGTAAAGCCACGCGACGCAATTGACGGGAAAGAAGGGGAGCCTGTACTAATTGTGGTCAGTTGAAAGAATACCCAACGCTCCCTACCCTTCGCCTACCGACTCCCCTAGCCCCCGAAAATATATTTTCATATCTCGAGCTAATACCAGTTTCATTTTTATTTTATTTTCGAAAATTTAATTTTACATATTTTTCTCATAATGATCATAATTATTCGATGTTCCGGGATATTCCGTGATGTTCTATGTTCTGGTCTTATCGCCGGCCGTTTTATCCCGCATCTGCTTGGTGGCTGCACAATGGGCAAGTCAAAATCAAATCAAAGTGTTTACGGCTTTATTCCTGAATTGACTGAATTCAGTCGACACGGCAGAAATGCGTCGTATGAAGCGAGCTTTAGAAATTAGAACTTCTGGCTTTCCAGTGCGGTGTTAATCGTGTTTTGTGTGAAGGTATAAATATAGCATTAGTTCAATTGAGGTCAACTGAAGTCAAAATTTCAAATTCTAGAACATTCAATTTTTAGTTTACGTTTCTCTCTCTTTGTACTCTCCGAGAGAGAGATTCCCTTCTTTTTCTCTGCCAGTAACCGCTTCAGTGATATCGTGGATCTCACAGAGCAGAAATAGAAAGGAATGTCTGCCTCGCAGGGTACTCTTATTACGAAATGCAACTAGAGTGAAAAGGCTTTCACTACTGCATGACAAATTCAAAACTTCTCTGAAGTTTCCCACTTCTTCACATTCTCATTCGCCGTAGTCTGGTCCCAGATGTTTTCGAATCGTTGCCTCTGTCGACTTTGAAGGTAACTCGTTTATTAAACTTAAAAGAAATCCAGCGAGCTTTCAAGCGGCAAGAGAACGCTCGCAATTCTACTATGATCAATTTTTCGTGCGTTCAAAACGAAAAAAAAAAAAAAGAAAGAAAAAAACAGAATCAAAAGCCCTCTGAGAACATTGCCTCCACTCAGTCTTGTGATCTTTTTTTCCGGCATATTGTGAACTGCACTCTGGATTCAAATATTCATGATAACCGTGTGCGAACAGGCGCTCTATTTACTGATCACCGACGAAATAAATTAATTATTTGTGCAGTCTAGGTCAAAAAGAATTTGACTGTGAGCTGCATACCAATTCCGTTTAGTTTGTCTGAAATTCATGCAACAGAGAACATTAATGTGCGCCATACTCACTGTTTGGAAAGATTCAGGAGCGATCCAGCGAAGTAACAACGCCACAGAGAACCGCGAACAAGGAAAATCAACAAAGAAATCAGGAACGCTTAGTCACCCCCAAACAGCTCGTGTTAATCACATGACGATGAGTCTATTTTGAAATCATTATTGATGTGCGTTGACCCGTTAACCAAGGTACTGAAAAACTTGCTGGTGAGTGATTATTTGCACGTTTCGTAAGTGATATCTAACTGCAGAGGCTTGCGTGACTTACAAAGCTTCTAGGCCTCACGCGATACAGAGCTTAAACGGAACAAGACTGCTCAAGACCAAAGCCAATTGTAACTGTTACAGAGTCGAGTAATAATTCTAGATTTAAATATTATATTCGTTTTTTGCATAACCTTTTCTCGCCATTGGGTCCCATAAACAAAACTGCAGCTAAAGGCCCGCGATGCAAATGCTTGCGTGACTTAGTTTGCGTAATGTCCCAAAGTGAAAACATACGTCACGTGAATCACCCGCATGCCTTCAAACGATCAAAACTCCTTTTTGGCCTGACCCGTGTCACTTGTTTTAGAGCGCGAAAAAATCCACTGTTAAACCAAACAAGTGCAAAATGCAAGCGTAACGCTAGATTAAGTAAACGGGCATTTTCAGTTCCGATTTTTTAGGAATACAATTCGATCCGACTCGATCTTGCCCGATCGGACCCTTATATAGGCTTATTGACAATAAATTCTTGTGATTTATACCTATTTGCTTTTTCTTGGAAAGTGTGCACTATATGATAGTTTTAATCGGGTCGTTGTGATCTCTTGATTTTTCTGATCTCAGGGTTCCATTTAGTTTTTTGAGACTTAGTAATTGCGACCCTTTATTAAAACAGATTGTCACACAGGTTAGTGGGTAGTGAATTGAAGGGATAGACGAGAAGGCCCTTCTTCCTTCTGAGACTGGGACCGAGTGTCATCGGAAAACAAAATGGCGGACGCGTGAGCAATATCGGCGAAGTACCGGAAAAACAAAATCTCCAAAAAATCGATTAATGCTCAATCTATTACTTAAGATATTCTTTTCAATTTCAGAAACATTCTATTGAGAGAAACGTAACCGTTGTGTCGAATATGCATGGCTCGATCGCGCGCGCGTATGAAGCTCATGTGTTGTCACTCTCGTGTTCTTTGTTGTATTTAACAGCTAAACTGGTCAAGTAAAGGAAGTAAAAAGAATAAAATGCATGAGACAGTTGTCGACACTTCAGCATGTTGATATCTTCATGTTTATGTTCATATTTATCTAACACGCCGTGCGTTTTAACACTGAATTGGCAGAGGTCCCGCTTATCTATCCCCTCAGGGGATGCACAAAGATACCCTTACTCATGGGGCCGAGAGTTCAGCTCAGAGGATTAGAAGCTAGATAATTACGTAATCCAGACATCACCCACCAACTTAGTCAATATTTAACAAGAAACGCGGGAAAATCGAATGCAATCGATTTTCTTTTTGATAAATTTTTCTCAAGATTCTATCCCCAAGCCATGTCGTCGTCCGAAAACATCTTTGAGACTTTTGGTTACGTGCCCGATGTACAATCAGCGGAAAAGCTTTTACACGAACACGAATTAGAAACAACAACTAGCTTTGTTATGTATTACAACTGCGGTGTTGGCAAAGGTGCACTTCAAACGAACTCTGGGTCATGTTGTATGTTGGGGTTGGGGGTAGGGGTGGGGAAAGAAATATTCTTGTACTGGGTAGGTGGGGGAGGCAAAAACCTGCCAGTTGAGGTATTCTAAGATTAAACAGAAGAGGTTATTTCGAAATAGTAGAAATGAAATCTGTACTTTATCTTGTGGAAACAATGCAAGTCTGGAATTCTTTCATGATTAAAACTTTTTTCCTTGAAAATTGAAAAACAAATATTCCCAGCAGAGGAGGTACTTCCACAAAAATTTGGTGTACAGCCTTCTTCCCAAAACCCTTACCCTATTTATGACCAAATTCTGCAATTTTTCCCTACCTTATTTATGACCAGACCAAAAATTTGATACCCTATTTATAACCCTTGCGGCTGATACTGTTGCCCTAAACATAATTTTTGAAGGGGTTTTGTTCATGATCTTATCGATAATGATGAAAAAGTAGCTTCTTCTAAACAACATACCCAATTCAATACTAAAGTACAAAAACCATACCGGGGCTATTTAAGACTAAAATGGCCAAAATCGATACCCTATTTATGACCAAGACGGCTGAAAAACCATACCCTTTTGGATAATTCTATTATTATCATTATCACTATCATTATCATTATCATTATCATTATCATTATCATTATCATAATTATTATTATATTGCCATATAAGGGTTTACCCCCTACCCCCCTTCAGGGCAAATATTACAGCACTAAGAAAGCACTAGAGCTGACATTCTGTGGTTATCCTGGAGGGGGAGGTATGGTATGTTAGTTGAAACCTTTATCTTATTTCAGACCCAGAAAATATGTGATTTTCAATTATTATACCCTTTTCTGGACATCACCCAAAATTCAATTCCCTATTTAAGACATTTCAAATTAGTACACTTCTCCAAACAAATCTATGCATATTCAAATTCCCTGATTTTAATGAGGAAAAGTAGTTTTATCTTAGCATCATGCCCATATCCAGGGTAGCGTGCAAAAACCATGCCCTATTTCAGACCACTTGGGGCGTAAGTACCTAAATCCTGATAAATTTCCCATTAAATATCAGCCACTTAAATAAATTATAAATGATGAACACTCTCTTACACACACACACACACACACACACACACACACACACACACACACACACACACACACACACACAAACTCAGAACTGTTACAGAGACCATGTTCAGTATTATTTTGGTGTTTCTTGTATCTCTTTGACAGCAGAGTTGAAGGAAGAAAGCCCTAAACAGAAACTAAAACCACTTTTCCAATGAAGGGTTGCTCAATGCTTATAAATGCTGCACTTAAACGGCTGACTGAGTGACTGAGTGATATGACTGACTGACTGATTGACTGATAGGCAGACAGCCTGCCACCCACCCAGCCAGACAGACAGACAGATTAACTGACTGATTGGATACATGCATGTATGCATGCATGCTTTCTTAACTTGCAATGCCTTTTTCATTCTTCACAGAGAATGTGGAAATGACAGGAAAGAAGGTATTTTTTGAACATCCCCATACTTTAATGTCCCAACCAAGGATTACATACAATGGAGTTCCTTTTATTATTATTGGAAAGCGTGTGTATGATTGCCATCAGGGCACAGACAGGCATGTACCTGATAAACAACGAAGAAAAAATGCTAAGGTGACAAACAAATGCTTGAAATAGTTTCCCTTTTCCTTAAGTGTCTGCCTTGCCATCTTGTGCGAGTGCAACTATATAAGACTTCATCTTACCTTTACATGCCTTCAGAGTTAGAAATTACTAATATTATTGCACAAAAATAGGCCAATGGCTGTAAATGTTTATACAAGGAGGAAATGGAGGGCAGAGAAAACATACATTCCTTTCCTCCAGGAGTTATAATCTCGTGTTCTACTGTCCTTTCATGACAGAATTGTTCTTTTAATGGTTTCGTTTGGTTGTTTTATTGTGATGACATGAACTGCTGCATAAAATAAATTGAAGAAACATTCCTCTTTGCAGTGCAATGTTGACCATTCATATGGTAATCAAAGGCAAAACGACCTGTATCAGATTACAAAGAAATTTGGATGCACTGCCCAAGTTGTTATGAGGTAGGTGATGAGATTCCCTCAATATGAGGTAATGCAACACAATTACCAAAACAATTAAGCAATACATTAACATAGTTATTGACCCTGTCCATTGGTATTTATTATATGATAATTCTCAAAAGAGTTTGGGAGAGTTTTTAATGTTTTTTTTTTTACACCAAGCTGAAACAAAGGTATTTAAATCACTAAAATTTTAACAATATTATTATTTCTGACTACCAAACTCCCAAAAGTACTTGCATAAGATTACGGGTGAAAAAAGTGACCTGTCTGTGATAATTAACTAACCAAAACCAAAGCAAAGCCACGAAATTGTAATGAAAATTGCTACACCTCATCAAAAATGGCTGCACAAACAACAAGACTGCAACAGAAAACTAAGGAATAACCATGATATTTATTGATGTTTCCATTTTCATGAATGATTGATCAGTTATTTTATAACTGTCACATTTCAGATTACCGTGGACACCCCAAAACTGCATCAAAAAAGTTGCGGAAGGCGTTAGAAGAGAATACTGTCGGAGAAAGTGAAAGGCGTGTGTATGTTCATCGACCACGGCCCACAGACCATACCCAGCATTGAACCAGAGAAGTGTGTATACACTAAAAACAGGGCAAATTAAAAATAAAATCAGTTGTATTTGGACCCATAACAAACCTTTTTTTTATTTTAGAAAGCAGGTTTCCTTCAAAGAATGGATCCACACCTAAGGGCACAAATCAAACAATTGGTGGATGAAGGGGTTAGGGGAGTGAATGAAATGCGCTGACACCTACGACATTATGTGTCCAAAGCTCCTTTTAAGGAAGGGCCTGTTCCACCCAGATCAAACAGAAGGTTCTTTCCCAGTAAGTTGACTTGAGAAACTGCATTTATGAGCCTGTAGTGAAGAACCAATGGTCAAAGGTGGACCAAGAAAATTTAGGGAAGAAAATTGAAGAATGGCAGAGAGAAAGCCCAGAGTATTTCATCACGTTCGACCCATATGCTCAAGTGCAGGCTGATTTTCAACAAAGTTGTGACGATGGGGATGATGGTGACAATGATTCTGAAGAAGAAGTTGTTGAAGTAGACAGTGGAAATGAGGGTCTCTTGTTTGTCCATCAGACAAAATGGCAAAGAAGACTTCTATATCACTATGGCAATGAGCTAAGTCTGCTTGACGCCACTTATCGCACAACAAAATATGCCCTACCATTGTTTTTCCTAGTTGTAAAAACAAATGTGGACTATCAGGTTGTGGGCAGTTTTGCTTTACAAAGTGAAGCAAGCACTAACATCGAGAAAGCCCTCAAAGTCATTTCTGACTGGAACCCAGACTGGTCGCCTAAATCCTTTCTGGTGGACAACAGTGAATCTGAGATTGGTGCGGTGGAGCAGTTATTTCCAGGTATGAGAGTAAATATTAGAATAGTGTAATTTAAAAAGTGAATGATAATGGTTTCAGGTGAATCTTTGATACTTTCATGTACCAGTTACTCTTCTAAATACCTGTTTCATTTACAATTCAATATTAAGTTAAGCTAAACATTACCTCCTCAAAAAGTAACCAGCACATCAAATTCATTTTTCACTTATTTTAAATGGGTACTGAATAGCAGTGGGTGGGTGTTATAAAGTAGAATTTTATTATGTGAGAAAATACAGTACGTCACTGATCCAAAGTGGCAAATCTTTAGAATGACTTTAAAATATTGTTATTGATACAGCAGTAGATCATAGTGTACCTATTGAATGGTGATAAAGAAAATCTCCCCATTCCCAGCTGTTTTAAGAAGACAGTAGCAGCTCAGTGCGGGGAACTCATGAACCAAGCAAAGTCTCTAACTTACATAGTCGATGATACTGATATACTTGTGCAGGTTAGAAAGAGCCTGGAAAATTGTGTCAAGATAATGGAAAAATCAGCACCAAAGGCATCCAATGGTATGATTCTAGAACGAGAAGGCTCATCAAAACCTGCACCCAGGAATGCGCCAAAAGCTCAGCCAAAGGACAAACTTCTGCAAAAACGTTTATCTCTTGCAACACGCAAGAGTAAATATTCAGGCAGAGTCAGGCAGGTAGTAAACAACTTGAAACAGGGGTGGCATGTGGACCCCCTTAAGTCAACTGAAAATTCCAAGCGCAAAAAGTTGGAGCTAGAGGTAGAAAAAGAAGGAGAAAGTTTGCCAGAGGATTGCCATTCAATCCCTTTACCAAAAAGTCCTCCATGTTCACTTTCACAAAATGGCAATGTTCCTGTAATCACCACAAATGACAAGTCTGCAGATCCTGCTGTTACAGTAAAACCAGCAGTCACACAAGCACCAAGATATCAGCCTAAAGAATCACCCAATCCTTTGCACATATCTAAACCTATTCCAACTAATACTGGCAGAGTCACAAAGGGAACAAGCAGCTTGAAACGGGGAGGGCAGGATATGGCACTCCACTCTCCTGTCAAATCCAAATGGGCCAAACTAGACGTAGACACTGAAGTAAAAGGAGATAACTTGTCAGAAGCTAGTCCTCCACCAGCAAGTAACAAGAAGGACAATACAGTGATCATAGATGAGAACTCTCCTGATCCTGATGTGTGGATAGATTACAGAGACCAAACAGCAGGAAGTAAATTAATAACACTTTATGCTGACAGTAAAAACCTAATCTTGAGCCCTCACAGTTGGCTTCATGACTCAGAAGTAGAGCCTGCTCAAAAGCTCTTGAAAATGAAGTTTCCCTTGGTTGATGGTCTGGAAGACCTAGACATAATTGGAAATTTGGTGACACCTGCAACAAGTGAATTTGTGCAAATAATCAACACTGGTTTACACTGGGTGTGTATCAGCACACTGTCACGCCCTATTGGTGTCGTTAAAGTATATGATAGCCTGTTTGGAAAGCCCAACATTAAAGCTATTCAGCATGTCTGCAGAATGTTGCTACACAGGGGGAAATCAGTGAAAATCATCAATGAGAAAGTCCAAAAGCAGCAGGGCTAAACTGACTGTGCAGTATTTGCCATAGCCTTTGCAACCACTTTATGTCACGCCAACAACCCCACCACAACAAGATATGACCAGAAAGCTATGCATAATCACCTGGTGGATTGTCTAGAAGTACTGGATATGGCAGAGTTTCCAACAACAGAAAAAACAGTGCCACTTGTTCTTGTTCCAGTGTCAAACAAGACTGTACCAGTCTATTGCACATGTCAACTTCCAGATGACGATGCTAAGTATGTCCAGTGTGATGGCCATTGCGGTGAGCGGTATCATCCAACTTGTGCTAATATTCCACAGTCAATAATCCATAACACAAACAAAAGGTGGATGTGTTTTAAATGCAGGGGCGGGGCAGAAGACTCCTGAAATTTTTGTACTGGATCATCCAACAAAAAGTGACGTCACATCCTGTTTAAATGGTGCTGCGCAGCTCGTTTCACAAAGCGAAAAAACGGCGTTTCGATTTTGGAAGATTTTCTCCCATTTGCAAACCATCAGGTCCGTGTCCTTCCATACTGAGGATAGAAATATCGTGAAGGCACATTTCTTCCACTTTTGAAGCAAAACTGTTGGCAAAAGAGAACAGTTTAGTATTGTTTTGAAGGAAAATAACGGAGAACC